ACAGAGCCATTTTATTTACGTGCAAAGCATTCTGGGTAAATGATGAAGGGGATAGGTCATTGGCACGAGGGTGCTATCGAGCTATATCCACCCTGAAGGTTAATGTTGGACAATATCTGATGATCGACTCTTTTAAATGAAACCAGAGAGCGTTGACAGAGAGGAGAAGGTAGAAATGACTCAGCCTGGAACTGAAAATATGGAAGGAGGACAACAGAGCTGCTTCATGGAAGAAGAACCTCAGCTTAGCCTGTTAGCCTTTGCGCTAACAAGCTAAACTTTGGTCCTCCATCTATATTTTCAGTTCCAGGCTGAGTCATTTCTACCTTCTCCTCTCTGTCAACGCTCTCTGGTTTCATTTAAAAGAGTCGATCATCAGATATTGTCCAACATTAACCTTCAGGGTGGATATAGCTCGCTAGCAGCCTCGCACCGAGGACCTATCCACGTCATCATTTACCCAGAATGCTTTGTAAATAAAATGGCTCTGTCAGAGTTAAAATATATTTTTAAACTTTTAGTTTTAAAATGATAAAAACTAAACATCCTACAGTATTTTTACAGTATTTATTTTACAGTTAAAACAAATGTTTATCTAATAAAGTCTAATGTTACAACTAATCCTGGATCCTTTTAGGACTAAAACTGGTTGTTTTATTGTTGCTGTTTATCAGAAAACTGTCATAAATTAACTCTGATCTGACAGACCGGTCACTGTGGCTTCAGACGTGCAGAAAAATCAAGGATTAAACATCAGGAAGGACAGATTTAACTCTTGGTTGAAGACAAAATGAAGTCAGAACTGAGTAAAGTTCCTGTAAACTCAGCAGACGTTAGTTTGAATAAAAACTGAAAACAGATCATTTCCAACCCACTGACTGTAACTAAAAATAATAAATCAGTCGCAGCAGACTCTTCCTCATCTTCTAACTCCTCCCATTTTCTGTTGCCAGGTGAGCTCACCTGATGCTCACCTTTTGTGCAGCGCTTCCATCTGATTGGGAGGTTTTTTTTTAAGCACATACGTGTTTACACACCTGGTGGATGTGTTCAAACCGTCTCTTCATAGGTGTGGTCAAATGAAAAGCAGTGCTCAGAAATGACAGGAAGTGACATCAGGATTTATTTCTGTGTCCAGATTTGTATTTAAATCTCACAGATTATTTCAGATTCCTCAATCAACATGTTGATTTTTTTTTATAAAAACAAAAGTTTAGAAACAAACATTTTATAAACTCTTTCAGACTTTTACTCAAATAAAATGCAGATTTTTCAAACAAGGCGAGTCCTGTGTTTAAAGTAAATTAATTATTTTGTAAATATGGGCTGGTGTTGAGATCTTTGAAGTTTTACTAACTGTGGAAGTACTTTTATTTAGTGTAGTAATGGTACTAGTACAAGTAGTGGTGGTTATGGTTTTGTCATGTGGGAAAATAGTTTAAATAATATTTATCTGATAGATTTTAGTCTGTGTTAATAATGAGAAGTGGTAAACACAGATCCGCTAATACAGGAACTAGCTTCTCATTTAGTGGATTAGCTTCTTTTTTTTTTTTTTTTTTGCTAATTTGGGAAACTGTCAGCAGACCAATCAGCTCCACTAATTTTAAGTCTAATTAAAAGTTCCTAAGTGTAAAACTTCTATTTTTATGTCAATTATCCTGAATTCAATAAAAACAATCTCCTCTTACAATCAGTGCTGGATGGGTCATGTGTGTGTTAGCATGTAGTATGTTTAGCAGCTAGACTTCAAAATAAGAGCATCAAAAAGAAATAAAGCAACATTTAAATGATACAAACAAAAACTGACAAAAATAAAATATGGTAGAGGAAGTATCTGCCATTTGTTGTTTGGCTAATGTCAAACAGTATTTATAAAATAAAAACTCTATTAAGCAATGCTTTTATTTTGATAGGATTAAATTGTAACTATCACAAGAGCTGTAACTCTGATTTGGATTGGCCACTTGTGTCACAGATGATCCAATAAAAACTAACAACAGGTTTGTGTCACTTCCACCAGGCTTTAATTTACAGTTGTCTTAGCGTTGGCTTCCGCTAATTTTTTAATTGTTTAGTGTTAGCCTAGCTACGGTTCTTGTTTGGCGGATTAGTGGATAATGAAGCCAGCTGTTCCCACCACTGCTAATGAATCTGGAGTTCCTCAGGGTTAAGTGTTTGGTCCAGTACTCATTTATATAAACCTCGCTTGTCTGAGTGGCGTTAATTTGATCTTCAGTTTGAACATAAAGAACCTTGGTGTTTTTATAGTTTACTGTGTCAACATCACACACACACACACACACACACACACACACACACACACACACACACACACACACACACACACACACACACACACCATCAACAATAAAAACTGCAGCAGNCACACACACACACACACACACACACACACACACACACACACACACACACACACACACACACCATCAACAATAAAAACTGCAGCAGACCCACAGATGTATCCAACGGGGACACTTGTGTCTCTGTTTCAGTCCACTGTTTGTCTTCAGAGCTTCCAGAGAATAGTCTGAGCCCACCTCAGGGGATAGTCTGAGCCCACCTCAGGGGATAGTCTGAGCCCACCTCAGGGGATAGTCTGAGCCCACCTCAGGGAGTAGTCTGAGCCCACCTCAGGGAGTAGTCTGAGCCAATCTCAGGGACTAGTCTGAGCCCATCTCAGGGACTAGTCTGAGCCCATCTCAGGGACTAGTCTGAGCCCATCTCAGGGACTAGTCTGAGCCCATCTCAGGGAATAGTCTGAGCCCATCTCAGGGAATAGTCTGAGCCCATCTCAGGGACTAGTCTGAGCCCACCTCAGGGAATAGTCTGAGCCCATCTCAGGGAATAGTCTGAGCCCATCTCAGGGACTAGTCTGAGCCCACCTCAGGGAACAGTCTGAGCCCACCTCAGGGAATAATCTGAGCCCACCTCAGGGAATAGTCTGAGCCCATCTCAGGGACTAGTCGGAGCCCATCTCAGGGACTAGTCTGAGCCCATCTCAGGGACTAGTCTGAGCCCATCTCAGGGAGTAGTCTGAGCCCATCTCAGGGAGTAGTCTGAGCCCATCTCAGGGAATAGTCTGAGCCCATCTCAGCCTGCAGGATGTGTTTGAACAAGCAGAATCTCAGACTTGTTAGTCCAGACTAATCCAGCCATCATCTGAGAGCAGCCCGAACCTTTTTATGTTCTGTCATAAAACCCAAACTGTCCGCCCCAACACAAACCGAGCCGGAACCAGGCTAAAAAAATAAACTTTAAAACTTTAAAGCCGAACCTCCTACCTCCCATTGGATGAGTTCCCTGCGGTTCTGCCGTCCTGTTCGGCCTCGAACACCAGCCGGGCCACGGTCCGGGACGTGATGTTGAAATCCAGTTTTTCACAGGAGCACATCAACATTGTCCGGGGCTGGAGGAGGAGGCGTCCACCGGCTGACCGCTGGCTCCCGGCCGGCTGAAAGGAGTCTTCCCCCGGACCGACACCGAACCCCGCTACGAAGGCCCGCGAGATCAGCAGCAGGGTTTAACTTTTACCACACATAAAAAAATACCCACACACACTTCCATTTTCACTTTACAGCATCCTGTTAAAAATACATCAATCAGACTTAATTTAAAGATAAAGACCGAGATTAGCCTCGCGTTAAGCTAGCTGCTTTAAAGAGCCGAACAAAAGCGGTTTTTGTCGAAAAGAGAAAAAAAAAAAAGTCAGCTAAACGGACGACCCAACTCCGGAGACAGGGGGGTTTACAGAAACTAAACATTTACCCAACAACCGAACGGGTTTTATTTTAGTAAAATACAGATTATTTGATACTACTCGGGTAAATATTTAATATACAGAACATAAAACGTATTCATCATTCAGTTAAAATAAAACACATTTAAATAAAACCCGAGCACCCCTCCATGTAAACTTTATGGTTCAGTCCGAGAAAATAACTGTTCCTCAGATGTGGGAGAGGAAGAAGCTTTTATTTCTCACTAAATCCACCAAAACAGGTCAAAAATCAACACGGAATCAACTCTAATCTTCTGATGAACAAATACAATAAAAATCTACTTTGTTGTAAAAAAAATATATTAATAAACACTAATTTAGTTCTCCTTATTAACAGACATTTTTCCACTCATATGAAGCCACAATGACCAGTTTTAACTCTGAATAATGTGCAACAAATACAAAAAAACACAAATTTGGTTTAATTTCTGAAGTAATTTAAAGGGAACAAAGCTAAATAGATACCTTGGATAACCAGAACCACAGCGACGCCTTGTGTCAGAAATATGTGTGTGCAGCCAATTTACACTCTAATGTGCATAAAATATTAAAATAAAATAAAGCCAATAAAGTGATGTTACGACCTGTTTCCAGAAGCAGCATCGTGTCCTCAGATGTCCTCACCAAGAGACAAACAGCGGAGACAGAGACAGTCCCTTTTACTGCAGCTGTACAGAACAATAAAAACATTTTATGTGATTCAGAGGATGTACAGATGAAAAATAAACAAAGCTTTAAATGGATCAACATTCATTTAGTTAATGCTGAGTCAGGTTGTTTTATGTTTACTTTGTAGCTTTGGAGAAAATATTTTATCACTTTAGGCTACTCAATAAATCAGAATGTTCAACTCATTTAGAACATAACATCTGGATGGACCAACAGAACCAAATGGACCAACAGAACCACATGGACCAACAGAACCACATGGACCAACAGAACCACATGGACCAATAGAACCACATGGACCAACAGAACCAAATGGACCAACAGAACCACATGGACCAACAGAACCACATGGACCAACAGAACCACATGGAACAATAGAACCACATGGACCAACAGAACCACATGGACCAATAGAACCACATGGACCAACAGAACCACATGGACCAATAGAACCACATGGACCAACAGAACCACATGGACCGACAGAACCACATGGATCGACAGAACCACATGGACCGAGAACCACATGGACCAACAGAACCACATGGATCGACAGAACCACATGGACCGACAGAACCACATGGACCAATAGAACCACATGGACCGACAGAACCACATGGACCGACAGAACCACATTGGACCAACAAAACACATGGACCAACAGAACCACATGGACCAATAGAACCACATGGACCAACAGAACCACATGGACCGACAGAACCACATGGATCAACAGAACCACATGGACTAATAGAACCACATGGACCAATAGAACCACATGGACCAACAGAACCACATGGACCAATAGAAACACATGGACCAACAGAACCACATGGACCAATAGAACCACATGGACCAACAGAACCACATGGACCGACAGAACCACATTGATCAACAGAACCACATGGACCAACAGAACCACATGGACCAACAGAACCACATGGGCCAACAGAACCACATGGACCAACAGAACCACATGGACTAATAGAACATATGGACCAACAGAACCACATGGACCAATAGAAACACATGGACCAACAGAACCATATGGATCAATAGAACCACATGGACCAACAGAACCACATGGACCAATAGAACCACATGGACCAATAGAACCATATGGATCAATAGAACCACATGGACCAACAGAACCACATGGACCAATAGAACCACATGGACCAATAGAACCACATGGACCAATAGAACCAATAGAAACATATTGACCAATAGAAACACATGGACCAATAGAACCACATGGACCAGTAGAACCAATAGAAACATATTGACCAATAGAAACACATGGACCAATAGAATCACATGGACCAACAGAACCACATGGACCAACAGAACCACATGGACCAACAGAACCACATGGACCAATAGAAACACATGGACCAATAGAAACACATGGACCAACAGAACCACATGGTCCAATAGAAACACAGAGACCAACAGAACCACATAGACCAATAGAACCATTTGGATCAGTAGAATCATAACTTTCATTCTTTTTGAAATATTTAACTTTTTGTACATTCTCACTTTAGTTTTCTGCTGTTTTGCATGTTTTATTTTTTAATCCTGCTGGTTTTATCTGTAGTTTTATTTATAGCTTCAGCTTCTTTCAGCATCACATTGAGTTTTCACAGAAACATTTCTCTGTTTTTATTTCTTACCTTGATGAAAACATTATGATCTGCAGACCTGGAGGTGTAATTGTGCTGTTTCTGTTTTGTGCAGTAAGTCAGAAAAAAGGCTTGTTTGTGTGAAGTTAGCATTAAACCTGATCCTGTTAGCAGCAGGGTTTTATCAGATCAGCAGAGTCATGAAATCTTCCTGTTTGCTTCATTACAGCTGATAACAGATATTTTTGACCTTTTCTGGGTTGCAACATCAATTCTTCAAGCACTTCTTCTTGTTTGAGTTTAACTTTGAATTTCTTTCACAATAATCACGAGTGAATCAGACATGAAGTATTAGTTTTATTTTAATGCTCTGAGGAACTTTGATCAATCGATCCTCAACTGAAGTTATGGATTTTAAAAATATTTTTTCACACTTTCGAACAGCTAGATGCAGCCCTGATGGAAGCAGAGTTATCTGAAGAAGTTTCCTCAAACCTTAAAGACATGAAATGAGTTGATGAAACAGTTTTTACCTTCCTGCAGCTGTTTCCTCTCAAACCAGCAGCAGCATCACAGTGACTTGGCAGAATGGGGATTTTCCATGGAGCATCTGCTGTCCTGTTTGTCTCCTGTTTGTCTCCTGAGTGTCCCCTGCTGTAACACACGTGCAGCTCCAGTGCAGCTCTCAGGGAGATGTGCAGTCTGCAGCAGCTGAGCCGGACCGCTGGAAACCTGAGCTGAGCTAAAAATAAAAGAAACACCTCCAGGCTGGTGAGGGAGGAGGTGTCTCTGCTCGGTGCCATGCACACAGCCTTTATCACGTCAACATTTCCTCGAAGGCCCCCTCCCCAGTGAGCACCCCCCAGGAGATTTGTGTTTGTTTTTATTCACCAGTCTGGTTTTATTCTCATTGGGAGGGCCGACACAAGGTCAGAGTGGGCTCTGAGCTCCAGAGTCACATGTCTGCATCGTTTACAGCATCCCTGACCCACAAAGCACCAGAACACCCAGAACCACAACATGTCTCCTTTAAAGCCAACAGCTTCATCACGTCAACAACACGCGTGTCCAGGCCTTCAGCCGTGTTCTCAGCCCTGACTTTGACTCTTTCCTGATGGGCCAGATGATACCGGCCCAGATAAGAGCTGCTCAGACTCCTGTCCAGTCTGTGGACCACACATTATTTTTAACAGAAATTACAACTAAAGTAAGGAGATAACTATTAAATATTTAAAGTCTCATCAATCAAATGAGAGTAACAGACAAAGAGACCGTATCTGTTTCAGAGAAATAAATATAAAACTGTTTCATTGAGGAACAAAACAACAGATTTTATGGATTTAAAACAGCACTTCCTGTTTCTGCTGTTTCTAATATTTCCAACAAAATCAAAATTAAATGTATTTTTTTAAGTCCAAAGTAATGTGTTGAACAAGGTTTTCAAAATGTTTAAACAAAAACAGGCAAAAACACCTAAACTGTTTCAGGAAGGTCAGACCTGAGAAAACAGGCATGAGAGAAAAGAAAATATGAACTTTATTTTAAAGAGAATCCTGACTTGTTGTGACTTTAAACATTATTTCATAAACTTTTACTTCAGCTACAAAACAAAGATTATAAAAATACTGTAGTGTTTAGTTTTTACATGTTTGAAAAATATATTGTCACACTGATGATGTCATATTATTGACACTGCAAAGCATTCTGGGTAAATGATGACACTTACTATGTGCTCAGGTGCAAACTTTATCCAGCTTCAGGGTTCAGTTTGGACGATGTCTGACGTTGTGGAGGACGACAGAGCTGCTTCATGGACAGCTCACCTCAGCTTAGCCCCTCAGGTTCTGTGTTAGCTCTGGAGCTAAAAATATTAGCTCTGGAGCTAACACTATCACAGTATATATATATATATATATATATATATATAAGCTTGATAGATAATGCTATATAATTAGTTCTGGAGTTAATGCCACATGTCACAATATATTTAACAAAAAGAAAACACTGACACTAGCTAGAAGTAGTAAAACATTAGCAGAAAGCATTGAATGGTATAGAGAACAGCTAAAGTAGTGTCGTTAGAAGCTAAAAGAGGAGTCATGAGGAGCAGTTTTTACCTTTGACCTGCAGAATCATGTCTGTGTTTACAGAAAACAATAAAAGCTGAAGATGAGCCTGCACATGTTTGCTTTACTCAGCATATATTTGTTTAACAAATCATGACTCGGTGGTTTTACATGAACCACCTGCTGCTTCCAGAGAATCAAATAAAAACATTAAAATAATAAAAACCAAAGCCTAAATTCAAACGTTCCTCTTTTCCAAACTCTTTTCTATTCTGTTTGTTTATAAAACCCGGGTTCTGCTCCGGGCGGTTCTGTTCCCGTTCTGGATCTCCTCAGGTTTCCTGTCGCCTCTAAATTTAGCTGCTTTAAAGTCGGACAGAACCGAGGGGCAGAGGTTCTGTAAAAGCACTTCTGAGCAGCTCTGATTGTTGGGAAACCTTCTGACAGGAACATTCTGAGGAACATGGGGTCCATCAGGAACCAGGAGGACTAAAGTGGACCTGCAGAACCTTCTCTGGACCACAGGTTGTCCTGCAGAAATGACCCACTGGTTGTGTTTTTTAGCTGCTTGCAGCCTTCTTGGTGAGTTTCAGCTGAGAACCTCCTGGTGTTCAGAAACAGCACGAATTTATTCAAATGTTTGTTTTATTGGTGTTAAAATAATTTAAAGACAACAAATATATATATATATATTTAAACAAAAATCACTTCCTGTTTGATTTTATTTCACCTGAAGAAACCAAGTCAGAGAATTTTATTTGTTAAAATAATTTAATTTTAGCCTCAGGGCCAAAGAAAATTTAGATAATGATGTCACAGGGTTAGAGTTTTATCTGGAACTGGACCAAAACCTGTCTTTATGAGAGACTTTAAAGATCAAAGATGTTCAGAGGATGCAGTTTGAACAAACAGAACCACATGGACCAACAGAACCACATGGACCGACAGAACCACATGGACCAACAGAACCACATGGACCAACAGAACCACATGGACCGACAGAACCACATGGACCAACAGAAACACATGGACCAACAGAAACACATGGATCAACAAAACCACATGGACCAATAAAACCACATGGACCAACAGAAACAAGTGGACCAACAGAAACACGTGGACCAATAGAACCACATGGACCAACAGAACCACATGGACCAATAGAACCACATGGACCAACAGAACCACATGGACCAACGGGAACACTGCCCCAGTCCAGAGGTGGCACCAACTCCATTGGGCTTCGTCTGGGTCAGAACATCACACAGTAGAGACCTAGATCTCACAGATCAGGATTATAGATCTTTGTTAGAAAAAATGGACCAAAAAAAATCTTGTCAGAAACAAATCCAAGAGTCTGGTTCTGTGACGATTCTTAGCTTAGACCAGGGTTCTGGGCTCGGATCAGGGTTCCTGGTTAAAGCAGAGAAGCTCCAGGTCCAAAAGTTCTAATCATCTGGAGACAAAAACAGACTCCACTGTTCAGCACGGTGGTGGCTGCATCATGACCCGGCCCGTCTGACTGCACAGATAAATCCAGAGGTCCAAAGCCCGGTTCCAAACCAAGATGAGGACACAGTGAGACATGAAACTCTTCATCATCCAGTGTCCTCATCATCAGAGCACCTTTCAAAATAAAAGCTTGACGATGTTTAAAAGTAAAATAAGTTTTGTCTGTTCTAAAGTTGAATAGATTGTTTTAGTTTGATGTTTTTTAATCTGCACATGTCTGATTGTCCCGGTTCTGTCTGAAGTGTCTCCGTGTCTCAGCGGCTGCGCTGAGGTGGACTCAATGACCGAGGCCGTGGCAGGAGAAGGATTCCTGCTCGGCTGCATCTCCTGTAAGAAAAGAGAAGAAGTTCCGGCCCGAACCACGGTGGACTGGCACTTCAAGCCTCGGCACGAGGACCAGTTCAGGCATGTGAGTCCAGCAGAGTCCCGGACACAAGGTTTGTTTCTCCAGTCCAGCTGAACGTTCTGGTTTTTCCTCTGCAGATTTTCCACTACGACCACCCCACCGCCGACGTCCTCCACGAGGACTTCAGAGAGCGTCTGAAGTGGCACGGCACCCGGAACCGCGATATTCAGGTCGGTGCCGTTTACATCCAGAACGTGACCTTCAACGACTCCGGGTCGTACCGCTGCACCTTCCACCGGACCCTCTTCCTGCCGCTGGCCGATGAGAGGGTGGTGGTGGAGAAGGAGGTGGAACTGACCGTGTTGGCTGCAGGTGAGCCTCGGCTTGGGTCAGAACCAGTCTCAGTGGACCTCATGGGGTCTGCCCAAACTCCTACCATTCATCAACTGAAATCTCATATCAGCTACAGGCAGTGATGGGCACTGCTAACCAGAGTTAGCTTCACTAACAACTAACCTGCTAAACAAGAATCTTAGCTCTACTAATGCTAACCTGCTAACAAAAATCTTAGGTCTTCTGATGCTAACCAGCTAAACAAAAATCTTAGCTCTGGTAATGCTAACATGCTAAACAAGAATCTTAGATCTGCTAATGCTAACCTGCTAAACAAGAATATTAGCTCTGCTAATGCTAACTTGCTAAACAAGAATCTTAGATCTGCTAATGCTAACCTGCTAAACAAGNATATTAGCTCTGCTAATGCTAACTTGCTAAACAAGAATCTTAGATCTGCTAATGCTAACCTGCTAAACAAGAATATTAGCTCTGCTAATGCTAACCTGCTAACAAAACTCTTAGGTCTTCTGATGCTAACCAGCTAAACAAAAATCTTAGCTCTGGTAATGCTAACATGCTAAACAAGAATCTTAGCTCTGATAATGCTAACCTGCTAAACAAGAATATTAGCTCTGCTAACACTAACATGCTAAACAAGAATATTAGCTCTGCTAAAGCTAACCTGCTAAGCAAGAATCTTAGCTCTGCTAACGCTCATCCCTTAAACAAGAATCTTAGCTCTGCTAATGCTAACATCCTAACAAAAATCTTAGGTCTTTTGATGCTAACCAGCTAAACAAAAATCTTAGCTCTGCTACTGCTAACCTGCTTAACAAGAATCTTAGCTCTGCTAATGCTAAACTGCTAAACAAGAATCTTAGCTCTGCTAATGCTAAACTGCTAAACAAGAATCTTAGCTCTGCTAATGCTAAACTGCTAAACAAGAATCTTAGCTCTGCTAACGCTAACCTGATGAATAAGAATCTTAGCTCTGCTAATGCTAACCTGCTAAACAAGAATCTTAGCTCTGCTAATGCTAATCCCTTAAACAAGAATCTTAGCTCTGCTAATGCTAACCTGCTAACAAAAATCTTAGGTCTTCTGATGCTAACCAGCTAAACAAAAATCATAGCTCTGGTAATGCTAACCTGCTAAAAAAGAATCTTAGCTCTGATAATGCTAACCTGCTAAATAAGAATCTTAGCTCTGCTAACACTAACATGCTAAACAAGAATATTAGCTCTGCTAATGCTAACTGCTAAGCAAGAATCTTAGTTCTGCTAACGCTAATCCCATAAATAAGAATCTTAGCTCTGCTAATGCTAACCTGCTAACAAAAATCTTAGCTCTGCTAATGCTAACCTGCTAAATAAGAATCTTAGCTCTGATAATGCTAACATGCTAACAAAAATCTTAGGTCTGCTGATGCTAACCAGCTAAACAAAAATCTTAGCTCTGCTAATGCTAACCTGCTAAA